CTTGGTGATTGTGAATTTCGTTGAGATAACATTTCTGAGGTCAGGCAGCGTATTCGACCCTGCACTTTATCATTCAACATAACCCAGCGGCATTTTGGCATTTTTTCGTGCTCAGAAGAATTCACAGAAAATTCTAAAAATTTGAGGGTTGGTAGATGAAGGTTGTGGTGTGTCAGCTAACAGAAGTACGACACTTTGGTGATTTTTTTGTGCTCAGAAGATTTCAAAGAAAGTTCTAAAAATTTGAGGGTCCATAGATGAGGTCGTGTTCTTTCCAGGAAAAAATATCAGAATAAAATAAAATAAAATCATTTTGCCCATGAAATAATAGCTGCGCGGATTCCGCATATTTCCATTTTTGCCACTCTGGGACCAAGGCCAGGCCCCACACAGACCTGCCGGTAGGCCACGTGCCTATTTGAAAAAACGGCCTACTGGTCCCCCGAATTTCTAATAAGCATTGCTGAAACAAACCCTTACCCCCACTGTCCTAAGCACATTCGCAGGCTTCAAGGTGGGTAGCATGTTCAGTCAGCCTATCAGCCTACCAGAGCCTCCAGCTCTCAGTAGGCCTGATCCTGTGATGGGGCAATCATATAGTTTTGGCAAAGGACGTTTCCAGCTGACAAGAGCAAGGAGAGCCCAGGACGGAGGCCGGAGAAGGCTTCAGAGAGGGAGATGCCACTGACCTGTTGCAGACCCGCGCAATATCAATTAGCTGTTCTTTCGTCATCTGTAAGAGGTCATGTCTCTCCTCTGCTTCCATCTCCGCCAGGTCAAACACCGTCTCAATTCCTTTCGCCTGACACTTGGCTGCAAGCTCCTTGGTGAAATGAGGCAGCTGAAGCAGAACTGAATCACGCTCCCAGAGTCCTTGAGTCACCATCTGGCTGAGTTCCATGGCAGCAAGTGCTGGGTTCAACCACCCGTTACTGCTAATGACATCAACCATTGCTTGCAGCAATCGCCCGGCGCTCACAAGCACTTCCCTCTGGTCCATAGCCATGTTTCCTGTCAGTGTATGCCGCGCAAAGTGCGCCTGCAAGAGAACATTTGCCTTCTGGTGAGGATCACAGTACCTTGGTGCACCCTTTTCACCAACACCCTTGTCGCAAGCTGGCTTCTCAACTCCCTTCTCTCCTCCCTTCTCTCCTCCCTTATCTCCTCCTTTCTCTCCAACCTTTTCCCCTCCCGCTGATTTTGCTTGGGGAGGTGCGAATCTCTGGTGATTTGCAAGCTTCCGGATCAGCTCCTCCTCCCCTGGCCGCATTGGCAATCCCGCGTACTCCGACGAGAGTGACAGGATCTCGAGAAGTGCTCGGTGTTTCGCTTTCGCAGTTAGCAGAGAGCTGTACAACTCAATAGTTGTATAGTTGATGTAGTAATAAGCTGCAATCATACCCAGGTTGAGGGGCAACAAGTCCATTTCATCTTCAATAGCAATGCACTTGCTGCTTTCCAAATCGCTCAGTGTATGCTCCACGAGGTCTGACAAATGATCCGAGAGATGCCGGTGGCTGACGCCTTGAAGATTGTAGTAGTTAGGATTCTGTGTCAACCGCCTGTAGAGGAACGTCCATGTCAAGTAATCGACAGCATCCTGTTTGTTTTCTATTGTTTTCACCACTACTTCTGCATTCAAATGGTCATGTAAGAAGTGATCGAGATGGCTCTCAATTGGCAAAGGTTCATAAAGGAACTTCTTGTAGTACTCTTTACGAGCAGCATGGCAGAGAATGACGCACTTGCCATCATCATCCACCTTTGGCCGAGAAGCCCGCCCCATCATCTGCAGCAAGTCAGTGATTGGATAGTCTGTATGTGCATTCTCCCGGCCATCGTAATACTGCGTTCCCATGACGACAACGAGGTGGCTGGTCAAGGTCATGCCCCAACACATGGAACTGCTTGCAACACAGATCTGCACAGCTCCTGCAGTGAAGAGCTTCTGGACAATATCAATGTCAGACTCATGCAGTCCCTCGTGCAAATACCCTACCCCATACCGCAGCACCTTCTTCAATCGCTCATCACTCACTTTTGCGAGGAAGGGGATCAGATCTTCTTCTTTGCACTGCAAGAAGCGTGTGGGCAGGTCATCTGAATTGGCATACATAGCAAGGTCAACTGCGGTAGAACCAGCATGGCGGCGAGTTGGAACGAAAACCAAAGCAGGTTTCCCATCCCTTGTGTGCTGCACGATGGCTGTATATGTTGGCTTCGTCATAGCCTGCATCCTCGCTTCGAAGTTGGAGATATCAATTCCTTGGATATGAATCTCAAGTGGAACAGGTCGAACACCTGGAGGGAAATTAAAGAGGCCATGAGAGCTTGTACCTATCCACTCCCCCAGGTCCTTGGCATTTGCAAGCGACGTGGACAGGGCTACTATCCGAATGGCATGCTTGTTCTGGCTGGAGATGTACCGCATCCTGGAAACGATGACCTCCAAAACCGGGCCCTTTTCACCACCAATCAGATGCAGCTCATCTACAATAAACAGGTCCACCTGCTGGACATGTTTACGCTGTTTCCACCGACGAGATAGCATATCCCAGTGTTCTGGGGTGGTTATGACGATCTGCCCCTTTTCTAAAAGCTTCAGGTCAGTGGAAGTCTGTCCTGTCAGCTCCACAACACGGGCACCAAGACCGTTTCCAAACTTCTCTTGCCAGCTTTGGTATCTCTCTTTGACTAGCCCTTCCAGGGGCTCTATGCACACACACCTCCCTCCTCCAGGCTCTCCTGCCTTCTTCTGCAACATTCGCATCACAGCAAACTCTGCACAAATCGTCTTCCCACTTCCTGTCGGTGCAGCCACCAGCACATTGTCGTCAGAATTATACAGAACTGTGAATACTTGTGTCTGAATCTGATTGAAGTGCGGGAACTTGTCCGCAAACAATGCCTCATATGCAGGGTTTCGAAGTGCAGATACAGGGAGTGGTTGGAGATCGAGAAGCTCAGTTGGGGGAGGATACTTCTCCGGGAGAATCAGGTGGCGAAAAGAAATAGGGACAACGGTCTCAGAGCCAAGCCATCGATCAGAAATGACTTTCACAAAGTACTGAGGAGGCAGAGGATCATAGATTGGAACAGTGAATGTGAGGTTATGGTCCTCATCCACATACTGCATCTTCAGAAGGAAGTACTCATGGTGAAGGATCGTCTCCCCATCATTGTCTTCAACGATGACCCAGAACGGCTCCACAAAGCCATGAACCTTCTCATCCCACTGAAAATCTGGTGTGATCATGAGATCGATTTGCAGTACTGATCGTGTTATTGGCTGAACACGAGGCTCAAGCTCCAACTTTGGAAACAAATGAATGAAGCGATGAATCGTCTTTCCCATCTTTGGAAACCTTACCAGCTCTCCAATGTCCTGAGAGCTGAGGTCATAATATCGTTCCCACGGGAGATCCTTCTTCTCAATCTTGCTTAGGATATCATTAGGAATACCCTTGAACTGTTCCAGTCATTCATGGATCCACACACTCCCACACACTCACAACCCCAAATGAACAAAACAGACACACACACACACACACACACACACACACACACACACACACACACACACAGAGCTTCCGGTCAGCAACCGATGAAACCATATGTGGTCAACATATCAGCAAGCAAACAGGCCTGGGACGAAAGGTCAGCAAGCCAGTATCAGTGACAGCAAGGACAAGGTCCTCAATCTCCAGGAGTTGCTGAGGGTCTGTTTGGTGTTGAAAGGCAGAAGAATAATATAAGCAGCTCAAGTTCACAGGTAACTCACTCTGTCAAAGTGCCACAACAACTAGATGGCTTGCTAAACAGTGGTGCTATGAGTCATTCATTTTTTGACACTTACGAACTGTTTCGTAGCAGAATGTTTAGCAAGCCGTCCAGTTGCCCGATGAGAGCAGGATCATAGCACCAAAGGAGTTCACACATACACATCAGGAATGTTGTATTTTGTGAGCCAGAAACAACTAGGACATGCAAAACAGTACGACAGACTCCCTGAGGAAACCGATCATCAATCGCACCTCTATGCATACTGAGCTCATCATTCATGTACCAAGCTGCGTGAGGAATGAATGAGTGCATATTATCATGACATGCAGAATTGCTCATCTACCAATTCATAAATGCATTAACCAGTCAACGAACTAACTACATACAGTTGAACATCTTCCACCTTCAGGAAAGCAAAGCCGACAAGTGAGGGGCATGGGGCAGTGAAGGGAACGGAAGAGGAGGGGAGGGGGGGGGGGGGGGGGGGGAGTGAAGGTATAATTGTGCAGGCACAATGGAAAGAGAGAAGAGTGCATTGCATCTCTAGATCGCCCACATACCGCCATTGGATGGCAATCCCTGGTTTAGTATCTGAAAAGATCCTTCACTCTCTGACTGATCGTGTGAGGCTGTGAGACGATGCAAATACAAAGAAAAATGAAGCAACTGGGAGCATTGCAGACAAATAGAAGACCAAAGACGGGCAAAGTGCAACTACTCTACAAAGTCTAAAAACAGGATATGGACGATGGAGGAGGGAGAGGGGGGGAAGTGGGGAGAGGAGAAGGGAGGAAAGGAGGGAGGGACGAGGGAGG